CTCATTCATCCAAGGTCATCCTTCCTGATCTTTATTGTGTGTGATGAACATTGGTGCGCTACCTTTTGGTGCTTTGATATGTTAATTCTCAAGCATACCCACATTCATTCACTCATTCATTCATTATCTTTTTGGGTGGAGTACCAAATTGAGGTTGTCAAGAAAACGAGATCCAGTACACTGGTCATAAGACACAAGAACATGTGGTTTTGCTGGGGTTAATGAAAAGTCATTAGTCCACAGCATGTCCATTTATAAAAGTCATCTCTGCATAATATTTTTAAATTGGGGCTAGAGAGATGACTCAGTGGTTAAGAGTACTGGCTGCTCTTGCAGAGAACCCAGGTTTGGATCCCAGAACCCACAAGACAGCTCACAACCATCCATAACTGCAGTTCCATGAGATTCAGTGCCCTCTTCTGACCTCTGAAGGCATTACACACATGCAGTGCACTTAAATACATGCACACAAAACGCTCATACACATAAAAATTTTTAATTAAAAGATTAAAGCAAATAAATATATTTATTTTTTAATAAATAAAAATTACTCCCAGTATCATGAAAAATAAATAAAAATTACAGGACATACAATTCTTGTTTTACTGTTGCTGTCAATGCATACTGCAGACATTATACCTCTGGATTCTTGATTGGAGCACTGTAATTCTGCCTCAAAGCCTTCAGCTCAGACCTGGAGTTTCTCTCCTCTGAAGCAGTTCCAGTTCTCCTCAATTGTTCTTCCCCTCCAGCAGAAGAGGAAGGCTTATTCAAGAGCTGAACTCTTACTTAGAATCTTTGATTCCAGGGCTTTTCAGCAGAAATCCTGTAGTATGCCTGCTGTGCTGGCTTCACAAGGTACTAGATCTCCTGTCCTGGGCTTATCCCATTAAGAGTAGATTTTTCTCAGGGGCTGGGAAGATGTCTCAGCAGTTAAGGATGTAATGACCTCCTCTGGCCCCCTTGAGTACTGGCACTCATGTGCACATACCCACACACAGACACAAACAAATACACAGTTAAAAATTAAAAATCTTCAAAAATCATTTTAAGTTGGTTTTCTCAAAAAAATTACATTAATAGTGGTTTCAATGAAATCCAAGAGAAAGAAAGAGAACAAATATCACATGTAGGGCTGGAGAGGTGGCTCAGGGCTTAAGAGTACTTGCTGCTCCTGCAGAGGACTTAGATTTGGTTCCCAGCACCCACATGGCAGCTCACCAGTAATTCCAGTTCCAGGGCATCCAAAGCCCTCTTCTGGTCACTGGACTCACAAGTAGTGGACATATACACATATGGGCACTCACATAAAATAACAAATAAGTAATTAATTAATTAATTAATTAAAATAATGGATGGATAAATAAATAATAAATAAATCTTTTAAAAATCATTTGTATAAGAAAGGTTGACTGTGCCTGTAATTCTAGCACTAGAGAAATGGAAGAGAGTCAGTGGTTCAAGGCCAGTTTGGACTACTAGCAAATTCAAGGCCAGCCTGCACAGCAAGACTGAGAGAGAGAGAGAGAGAGGGGGGGGGGGGAGGAAGGGGGAGGGGAGGGAAAGAAGTAAGGAAAAAAAAAGGAAGAGAAAAGAAGGGGAAAGGAGGGAAGGGAGAGGAAAGAGTGAAGGATGGTCAGCAGATGGTGGTTAAAACCAAGGTGTTGTGAAGACCCATCCTCTGCTGTTGCCAGCTTTTGCCCTCCAGTGAAGTACTTGACTTCTCTGAGCATGGGTCTGAGCAGTCACCTCCACCTACCTTCTGAGAAATAAAGGAGATCATATGTGGAAAAGATTTTTCACCATACTTAATCCAAATAGAACTGCCTAAGACTTAAACAGTGGGGCATTACGATGTAATTAATTAAGATCCATCCTATGATTTGTAGCCGGGCGTGGTGGTGCTCGTCTTTAATCCCAACACTTGGGAGTCAGAGGCAGGCAGAGCTCTGTGAGTTCAAGGCCTGCCTGGTCTACATAGTGAGTTCCAGACCGGCTGGGGCTATAGCAATACCCTCTCCAAAAAGACCACACCACACACACACACACACAAAAAAAATAATAATAATAATAATAATAATAAAATAATAATAATAATAATAATAATCCATCCTATGATTTAGGAGTTAGAGCAAAGCGCTGGGAGAGGCTGTTGGGGAGGAAATGAGAAAGTGACTGGAACAAAAGGAATAGTGGTCACTGTCTGGAGGTGTGCAGAAGCGCCAGCTGGGGAGTTGTCAGGGCTGGGGGATGGGGATGCACACACTGATGCTGGAGGGAACGTATGGGTCGAGCAGGGGTCCTGAGAGCTGTAAAGATCCTGAGAGGTGCGAGGGTTGAACACAGGCTTTGCTGCGTACCCATGGTGCAATGCTGCGTGACCCCATGCTTCACTTCCCTCTAGACGCTCTCTGAGGGTCACCGACAGAACAGCAAAAGCCTTTCAATTGCCTCCTGCCCTGAGGTCTGGCGGGTGCAGGAGTTTCTGCACTTCACCTTGATTCAGTCCTTGAGCCATTGCTTCCTAGGGCCTGATCGCCAGCGGTTCAAACTCACCACTCCTCTCATCCCTAACTTCATCCCACTTAGTTCAGGGTCAACCCTGTGTGGGGTCACTTCTGTGGCCAGCGACTGTGACCACCACTTTAGCTGGAGCAACACTGAGCTTCATAAAGCCGGTCAGTAACCTGCGCCTGCTGCACCTGCTGCTGTTTCCTCCTCCGTTTGTGTTGACCTTTCCTAACCTGAGAAACCAGATTTGGGTGACCACTGTCCTTGACTCTTATTAACCAGGTCTAGATTCATCACTCCAATCTTGGGCACCTTTTTAAACCGCACTTGGGAAATGTTATAGTGGGTGATTCTTACATGGACTTTTATAAAATGTAGTATACAGAGGCAAGTGGATCTCAGTGAGTTTGTAGCCAGTTTGGTCTACATAGTGAGATGCTGTCTAAAAAAAATAAATAAAAATAAAACAGTAGAATAGTAGCTATGGTTCCTATATTCAAATCCAGCCAAATCTGTTTTAAGTCAATCATATAGGGAAAAATTAAGTGCCCCAGAGCTAGTGACATCTGTCACTGTTGCAGGCCTTATGTCTCCCAAGATGTTCTTGATGACAATCTAGTGAAAGATTTGCCTTTAAGAGGCGGGTTGTGTGTGTGTGTGTGTGTGTGTGTGTGTGTGTGTGTGTGTGTGTTTTGTTTTGTTGTTGTTGTTTTAATGCTGCCTACAAGGTCATTTACTACAGTTACAGCAACATCAGAATAATACTTCAGAAAAAAACACAAATCTAGGGAGACGGTAAAAACAGAAGATAGGATTGAGATTGTCTCTTCCTAGATTTAACAGTGATCACAGACAGGTATAGAGATGTGTGCCATAGCTTAAAAGACTTCGGGGGGGTTGTTTTGGTTTGGTTTGGTTTGTTATTTGTTTGTTTGTTTTGAGATAGGGTCTCCCTGTAGCCCCAATTGGCCTGAAACTTGCTGTGCCAACTAGGCTGGCCTCAAATCTCACAGAAATCCACCTGCCTCTGCTTGCCAAGTGGAATTAAAGGCATGCACCAGCACAACTGGCAAAGGACTTTCTGATGTTATTAAACTTACGGAAGCTAACAAAGCTTAAATTCAGGGTGTCTCACTTCTATTCACCTTCCAGGGTTTTGTCTCTATTTTTTATTTTTATTTTTTATGGTGCTAGTGAATCAAACCCAAAGCTTTATGCATGCTAGGCAAATGCTCTACCACTGAGCTATATCCCTAGTAAAGATGTAGCCCAGGCTGCCCTCAGCCCCATCATCCTCCCCTTCAACATCTGCTTACCAGTCTACAGCCACCCCTAATTTTGCACTCTTCATTTTGTCCCTATTTTTCAGGGAGCCCCCAAATGTTGGCGGGTCTTGCAACTAGATCCACTCTAGTATGGAATTGTGAATCTCTAAGAGACGTTTTTAATTGTTTTCTCCAAGGGATCTAAGCTGGTTCTTAGAAAATATGGCAGCTTGACTGTAGGAATCATGAGTAACAGCCACTGTTCAGAATCCTGTGTGTAGATCAAAGGCTGTTCCAGGTCTCTGAGGAACAGTGGGAGATGTGAGCAAGGCATGAGGGTTCCAACAGAGTGTTTACTGAGCATGCTCATAACCACTTTATATTTAACAACAAACATGTTCATTTGCTTCCATAGCACTATTAACTCATTTTGGACAATTTTGTAAATATGAATTTATAAACCTACCTTTTGCTTTGAGATAAGGGAAATTCTTTCAGAGGGCCCTGCTCCCATAATGGGTAAAGTTGAACATGGCGACCTCATGACTCATGGGTAAATCAAAATTCACAGTTCATATTTAACTCATAGTGGATTTTAAATGCAAAAACTAAAACCTTCATAGTAAGTTACATATCATTAAGCTAGGCATGGTACTGAAAGTCTACAAACTCAGCACCCAGCAAGCTGAGTCAAGAGGATCGTGAGTTTGACACTCGCCTAGGCTACATGAAACCAAATACAAATTTCTTTTTGTGTGCTTAATGAGGCCAATTTTAATCCATCTATTTTTCTATGGCCATTCTGGTCTTAGCTGATACAGAAAAGTCAAAAGGCAGCTGTAAAGACAGAACTTAGAATGTCCATCGGAAAGATGCTGATGTGGCAGGTCAATTCACCAAAGAACTGAATGCTAAATGACCTTACAATTGCGTTCATAGTTGTTTTTATAGTTAACGACTTACATTCATTGTTGACTTACACATTCATTTTGGTGAGTTTTGTGAACTGTTGAATGTTCTGCCGCTGGCTTGAGTGATAAAATCGGAGTGAGATACCTTTCATCACACTGAACCTATGATCCATGCATACTACAGTGTCCAGATTAGACCTCCACATGATAGAATTGATGCCCTACCTGCAGCTTCTGTTCTGCAGTTTCTTTTCACTAAACTCTGTGGAATACTATAACACATGCATTTTCTTGTCACCCTCTCAAACTTTAGGAGTTCTTTGATCATGTGAAGAAGCTCTGGGACGATGAGGGGGTGAAGGCATGCTTTGAGAGATCCAACGAGTACCAGCTCATCGACTGTGCTCAATAGTAAGTTGTTCCCCAAGTGGGGCCAGTCCTCTTTGAAGTCATGACTGCCTTCATGGCTGTGCTGTCCTCCCCAAGGTTCTGAAGTTTCTTAGTACAGAGAATGGGTGCAGCTTTTGACTGCAAAAGTCAACTTTGTAAATGGGGTGTGTTTGGTTGTAGCATTGTTTCATGGAAGAACAGGAAATATTTTTACTCACTTTGTCCTGATGGTTGTTTTCAATTCTATTCTTTTTTCCCATTCTAATGTGAACTACAATGTGCCTGAATATTCATTATTATATATTATTTTTGATTCAAGGGTCCCCAGATTAATTTTTTTGAATATCAAAATTTGTGACCAAAGTCAGGATCTTAAGGCATATGAGCACCTATGCTTGTCACAAGGCTGTTGGAGGAGAATCATGAGTTTGGGGCCTGCCTGTGTTATATAGCCTCTACTAAACTACACACTAGAGCAGAAAATTCCAGCAGCTGGGGTCCCTAGCACATCCCATGATCATATACATTTGCACTGAAAGTTGTGCAGTAGGTGTTTTGTCATCCCCACCAGTGCTCCTTAAACAAAACCTGGCCTTAAAGACACCATAAAGCCATTTGATGTCACATTAGGAATTTCTTTTTCTTAAACAACAACAACAAAAAAAAAGTGTGCTTGCATCAGTGAGTGAAGAGCTGATGATTTAACATCAATTAGAATGTGCAAAAATAAATCTTTTATGTTTTAAGGGACACGAGACTGGTGGCGGGCAGATCAGGAATCAGGTGGTATAACAGTTGTGCCACCATAGGTATATGAGATTTAGGGCAAAGTATTTCAATGGGAAAAGAACAGTGGCACCTATTCTCATTGAGTTGTTATAGGATAAATAAGTATATATCCAAAACCTTCAAAATTGTACATAGCGTACAATGAACTCTCAATAAGTCTTGTCTTTTGCTAGTACATGACTGATACCCTGAGGCCCAGAGAAGTAAACTGAGGGGTCCAAGGATCACAATTTCTCAGTAACAGTCAAGACCACAGGAAGAAATTTGTTATTTCTTCCACTTCTTTCAAATTACAGAGAGCTATGAATTAAAAAGTGCCACATGAAAAGGCTCCAGGGCCTCAGGCCAAGACTCCCTTTTAGTCTTGAGAATAGAGCCTTACTTTCCTACCCCAGAACTGGCTGAGTCACAGGAAGCCACTCCCTGGAGACTAGTGATCCTGACGCTTCATGACTTCCCCAGCATCGCTATTCTATCCATCTTTTTTCTCTTTTTTTAACTTTTACAAAAACTTTACTGAGAATTTCACACATTAATATAAGGTGTTTTGATCAAATCCATGCCAACTCCCTCCCTTCCAACACCCTCCATAGCTCCCCATCACTTTTTTCTTTTTCTCTTTTTTTTCTTCTTTCATTTATTTATTTTTATGGAGCTTTTGGGTGCTCTAACATTCCCCCCTCTGAAGAGGTAACCCTAAAATCTTTTAAGGATTAGACACAAGCTCCCAAATACTTTTGACATTTTTGGCCTTGGAACAGAGTGTGTTACTAACAGGCCCAAGGACATTTTGACTTTTAGCCAAGAAGCTTGCTACATTTTGGGGGTTCTCTTTACCCTAAATGCCTAGCCAATTCCTACCTCCTATTCTTATCATGCCATCCCCTAAAGGGGTTACCCATGCAGGGTGAGGCCACTGGAGTACTCCTTCAGTGGATCTATCTAAAAGACTCCCAAATTGCATAACTCTTATCTCTAAGGGCAAAGTCCTTGAATCATGAATACAAGATGTGAAGGAGAAGTAAAGGCAAGAGTAATTAGCATTACAAGTTCTAGACAGGGAACTAAAAAAAAGAACAGGGCAATTTTCAAACGTTCATATGAGAGTCCATTGGAATTTCTTGACAAGGGCTTCCAAAAGCATCCCTCTATTGGGTTCCTCCTCATTTTTCTTTTGTCTTCCAAGGCTGGACTCTAGAGTGATGGATTCAGGATTTGATTTCGGGTATTTTGATAGCTGTTGGAGTAGTTGGAATCCGTGTCAGTTCCCTCTCAAAGGCTTCAAGATAACCGAGGAGTTGCTGAGTTATATGTATGACCTGAGGGTATACACACTGGTATTCTATCCATCTTAACACACATGGGAATCATGTTGGCTCCCTACCCTTTGTCTCCTACCTTACTTCTCTTCTGTGGTCAGGTTCTGGGGTTGGAGGAAGAGGGAGTTCAGAAGCAAGTAATATTCCAGTAAATTTGTAAAACCAGTATATAGCTGCCAAAATATTTTAAGTTTCTAAGTAAATATTAGAAAACACTTGCTAAAGAAAGGTCATGTACTCATCAGGTTATGAGAGGAAAGTGACCATGATCCTATGCTGTTTATCCAGCCACCAGGCTTTGGCCTTTCCCAGGGAATGAGTCCTGTTCATCTTCACATGACCAGCTCCTATTAGGGCATTCTTGTGAATAAGGTGCCACTTGGTAGTCTTGATAGGGACACACTCTGAGAAATGTGTTGTTGCTCTGTGGACATCGTAGAGAGCTGCTTGTGTACAGTCACATGGTATAGCCTTTAGGCACCTGAGCTACTGGGTAAGTAGACATAGATGCAGATATATATAGATAGATAGAGATAGATAGATATAGATATAGATATAGATCATACATATGTATATGTATAGCAGCCTACTACTCCTAGGATCATGATAAATAATACAACACAGGATTAAATCAAGCACAAGAAGAAATGATGCAATCAAGAGACATGGTAGGGGCTGGAGAGATGGTACTACAGTTAAGAACACTCACTGCTCTTCCAGAGGACCTAAGTTCTATTCCCAGCACCCACATTGAGTGGCTCACACCACCTGTAACTGCAGCTCCACAGGATCTGATGCCCTCTTCTGATAACACATGGCAAAGACAGAGAGAGAAAGAGAGACAGAGAGACACAGACAGACAGACACAGAGAGAGATAAAGTTCTTAAAATCTTATCTGAAGAGGGTGTTAAATCCCCTGGAATTGGAGTTACTGACAGATATTAGCTGCCATGTGTACTAATGGGCCCCATATTTTGAGTTTTTAGAAACTTTACATAGAGACTGGAGAAATGACCATACTGCTTATACTGCTTGCATAAGATGTAGATTGATTCCCAGCACCCACATTCAGTGGCTCACACCACCTGTAACTGCAGCTCCACACAGGATCTGACCCTCTTCTGATAACACATGGCAAAGACAGAGAGAGAAAGAGAGACAGAGAGACACAGACAGACAGAGAGACACAGAGAGAGATAAAGTTCTTAAAATCTTATATCAAAAAGAAAGACAAGGTAGACAGAAGATATGTAAATCTACTGCTGTCAAAACCTGGCATAATATTTTACAGACCCCTCTTTCTTCTGTAAGTAGGAGAAACATACTCTAAGATAACAATAAAGTATGGCAAGTACACAGACTCTTAACATAGCCCTATCCTCTTACTACCAAGTGTGATGTGCTGCCCATGTGATTTGTGTACTGTACTTTTATTTGGCCGGTAGCTAAACATGCGGTTCAAACCAGCATGGCCACAAACACTGAGGAATGCATTGTGCTGCATTACAGCAGCTGTGAAGACAGCAACAGGAATTTTTCAGCTCTATATAGTCCTAGGGACCACCATCATATTGAAGGCTGTATAACAACAAAAGATTGTACCTGAGTTGGTAGAGCAAGAGCTCCATAGTCAACGTGCTGTAGATAGGAAACACTGACCCTTGACTCCTTCGTAAGTCCACACCACACCCAGATTCTCTTACTCTGCAGTCCACTCGTCCTCCCTCTGGCAGATATCCAGGATCCTGACATAGCTTCCTTCTTTCCTCATCTAAATTGCTGGGAAAAGATATGACTAATGTCTTGGGTGACTCTGAGTCACTGTGTTATCTTGTTCAGCAATACTGCACTCTGAGCCCTGAAATTCTCTTAGGACCTCTGGAGGCTGAAATGCCCATTAAGATCTAAAGAGAAACCATGCTGGGTGGTGTAGATCTGTAATCCCCTACTCTGGAAGTAAGGCAAGAAGATAGCACATTCAAGGCCTTTCCTGGGCTACAGAGTTAGCTCAAAGACAGCCTGAGCAATTTAATTCAAGCCTATGTCAAACTGAAAAGAGGGCTGTAGGTGTAGTTTACTGGTAGACTATTGCCTAGTATTCATGGGGCCCTAAGTTTAGCCTCTAGTACCAGAAAAAAAGAAATAATCTCATGAGAATCTAGTAGTTCAGAAGAGGCTCAGTCTCTGGTCCCCAGCCATTCACACTTAGCTATATGCCCAAGAGAATTATAAACATACATCCATGCAAAACCTGCAGGCAAGTGTTCATAGCAACCTTAATAGCCAAACTCAGAAACAGCCCAAATGCATCAGCTGATGGTTGTGAGATGTCCTTGCAATGGAGTGTATTCAGCAGTGAAGGAAACATGGCACAAATGCACATGTACAGAATGGATGGAGAACGCCAGGCTAAGTAACAGAAGCCAGACCCAAAAGGTCACAAATCAATGATCCACAGATGCAAATGTCCATGGATGATAAATCCATAGAAACAGAGGTAGATTAGTGGTACTGGGCCTGGGGAGAGGAGAAATTGAGAGACTACTCGGGAGTAGGTAGTTTCTCTTATGGATAATGTATTGCTGTGACAAAATGCCTGACAGGAGCAATGTGAATAAGGAAGGATTTCTTTCTGCTCAAGTTTCAGAGTTCAGATCATTGTGATGGGGAGGGTGTGTGAAGCAACTCAGTTCACATCCCATCAAGCCAAGAAAGAGAAAGGGGAATATCAATGTTCTACTGGTTTTCTCTTTTTCCCATTCTGTTCTGCCCAGACCCTCAGAATGTGGGACACTACTGCCCACTTTTAGGGCAGGTTATCTCCGCCTCAGTTAGTTCTCTGTAGAAACATCCGGAAGTGTGCCTCACTATCTCCTAGGTAATTCTTGATGTAGTCAAGTTAACTATGAAGA